TTTCTAAAACCCTGGTTTTTACGAACCAGTCTTGTTTTTTGCACACACATACAAAAAATAAAAAAAGGGTGTGTGTGTTCCAAGTAGATAATCTGTTGTGGGTTTTGGCTTTGCAAGTTACTACTGCTCCTGTCCCTCCTGCTTGCGCAACTACCCAGAAATGGGCCTTGACATCGGGCCATCAGGCTCCTCACAGTTAATTAAACTTGTTTTTCTCGGTGCCTCCTCTTTCTGAAAAATAGAAGCAGTGTTTACCTGTTCGTTCACAGGTTGGGTGGTGGAAGAGAAGCTAGCCTTCAGCTGTGCAGGAGGCTGGAGCAGGTACTTCAGGAGGAGAGGACATCTGCAGGGATTTGGCCTCACTTCTTCCTGTATCAAGGGGGTGAACTTCTGCAGGGTTGGGAGCTCGTGTGGCTGTAAAAAGTGATCTCTGCTTCCTACAAGGTAGGGAATGACTGATTTGGCTGCAGAAGAAGCTCGGGGAGTTTGGAGTGGGCTGGGAAGTGAATTTGATCTGTGTGATGCAGCTGCAAGAAGAGACAAGCCTGGCTTTGGGACTCTGGGATGCGGAAACGGTGCTGTGGAAGAGTCCTCTGCAAATCCTGTGTGTAGTTTTGAGTAAAAAGCCTCAGAGCAAACATAGCAGAGGGCTGGAAAAAGTGATCTAGAAGGAAAGGATGAAATAACTTTGCCGTGTTTTAATCTAGAATAGAAAGTAATGAAGGAAATGAAAGATGAGAGAGGACTAGGGACTCCCATCCATGAACAGTGATCTTCCATGCATCGTTATTGCCCTTGTTTCTGTGCCATTACACATTTCCACATTTTAAAAATTATATGGCAGTCCAATCTATCTGGTGAGTCTGCTGACAAATGGTTTCATTTAATGTACATTGCAATTATCTGTCATCTATGAACGTCTTTGCACTGGAATCAGAACTGGAGCCCTTCCGTTGGCGTCATCGAGCATCCTGCACAGTGATGAAGCAGCAGTTCTGGCTAGCTGGCTCTCAGCAGCTGCAAACCTGGCATGGGAATGAGCTTGTGGGCCAAAGGGGAAAGCTTCGTCCCCTTCTGGTGCTGCAGTGTAACCCAAAATACCGAGCACCATGAGGAGGGCACAGCACGCCAGCTTCATTCACAAAATGAGAGACTATTTGCTACCTTTGACTCAAACATACAAGTTTGAAAAGGTAGGATAAAGTCCCGAAAACCCACGCTTTTTCAGCAGGTTTTTCAGTCACTAAAGACACTCTCCTCTCAGGATCTCATCAGAGGTGGCTTTAATTCACTTCCCAGGATGTGGTGACTGTTTCCAGGCCTCTTTCGAACCCTTCTTAGGCTGGAGAAAAGAGCCCTTCTGGCACGTTCAGCAGGCCTGCTGTCTACCCCGAAGCAGAGCTTCCCTTGAGTTGTGTGCAGCTGCTTTTAACCCATCCACAGCGCTTTTCCTCAGGTGTTGCAGACAGCTTCTTGGCAGAGAGGCTCTGGAGAATCAGCTCGTGGCTTTGGCAGCGGGAGCTGCAGCGGGAGCTGTGCTGACTTGCCGAGCTGTGCCCTGCCCCGTGCAGCAGTGCGTGACCTCCGCTTGCACTTCCCCGCTGGCGTTCCTTTTCTCTCGCCCATTTTCCGGGGTGTGCCAGCTCCCTCAACTTCCTCGTGCTGTCCTGGTACCCCGTGGTGGGATGTGGCTGGACAAGTCATCTTCTATTGATGGTGAGAGTGCACCACAACAGGTGCAAACACTGCTCCGTGGGCTACAGTGGAGACACACAGCCCTTCTACCCACACATTAAATTAACATAATGGTGCCTTCTGGCCTGGAAAAGCCTGTAAACGTAGCAATCACTTTTTTTCTCAACATTTTCCAGCATGTCTTTGTGCAAAATTTACCTGGGTTTCCTTTACATGCTGGCTGAGGGATTGTAGGGTCACTCGTGGTGCCAGGAAGAGCGTCCAGAGCAAACCCACAGAGGAGGAGACCTTTGCAGTGCCACGCCAGCCTGAGGGCAGCGGTGGCCCCAAACTGAATGACCAGTGCTGCCTCTGCTACGGCTGATTTGGGCCGTGATGCCTCTAAAACCATCTCTCTGGTTTGCGGTGGGCTTTGGTGGGATTTGTCTGGCATTTTAATTGATTGCCAGGTGGCTCCCCTGCTGTAGGAGGTGGCGAGGAACCGTTCTCCCATCCAGAAATCCCACTGTGCACGAGCATAATATAAAACCCCGCTCTCCCACGGGCACAGCTGTGGCCTGCGCCGTTCCCAAGGGTCAGCCCCAGCACTTCTGTTAAGCAGCAGTGAGCTGGAAAGACCTCCTCAGTGCTTTTATGCAAATGGCACCCGGGCGCCTCTGCCATGTGTGTTTGCGGGCAGACACTGCGTGGCAGCAAACAATAGGTATTGTTTTGTCATGTAAATACCGGGGGATGCTTGCTGGGAGCTGGGCTGGCCTTTAATGAATGTTTTTGGCGTGTGTGTGTTGAAAGAGAGGGTGGGGAGAACGACAAAGTTGTGAAGCTGGAGTGGGATAAGCAGAATGAAATGCTGTCACGTTAGGAGCCACAGGAAGTGCGGAGTATGCAACCTGCCTGACGGATAACAAAGGTCGGGGCTGCATGGAAGCGAGATAATGAGGGGGAAGGAGAACAATTGCCTTCACACAAGGAGTTCGGTGATGTACAGCCGATGACTTGCAGCCGCCTCCGTGACCCTCATCGCTGGTCCCCGTGCGTCTGCGTCTCCGGGCGCGCTCTGCGCAGCCGGCTGCTTTGGGCAGTATCAAGGCATCGCCCAAGAGCTTCCCAGCAGCTGAGGGACCTCACCCAGTCAGGCTGAGGATGGAGGAGGTACTTGAAAGGATGAATCAAAAGTATTTTTTGTCCTAAGTTGGTAGTTTTTCCCTGTATTCCAGATGTAGCTGCTGCTGTTGCAGTTTTTGTAATGACGCCTTGGACTCGTTTTTAACTTTCTTTTGAGGCAGGAGGGGGTCGGAGGCAGAGTCTTTCCTTTAGCGAAATAAATATGTTTTTCCTGATCTGTTTAGACAGGATTCATGGGAGAGTTGGAGAAAAATCACTTAAAGGAAAGCAGTGCCGCAGGTCTTGGAAAAGACCTCTGAAAGTCAATAGAGAGAAACAGAAGCTTTATCTGCATCTCGCAGTAAGTGAAAAAGTGAGCTGGATTCCTGGAAGCTCGTTCTTTTAAGGCAGTAATCCACCCTGCTAACGCTGTTATCCTGAGTACAGGATTTATGCTTATGTCATGTTAAATACAGCAAGCTCCTTCACAAAAAAGGTGGACAAGAAAAAGAGCACTTTATAGATTGTAACACACTGTTATGTACTAATAAGCAAAGAAACCCATTTTCCTCTTGAGCAGAGCAAGTAAGACAAGGGCAGTATTCAATGCAGGAAGTTTTCTTATCTTTCTTCCCAAGACTTCTGATTATTATAAGGCAGTAGCTATTATTTATCATCCCATTAAGAAATGGTCAGACTCCGTAACTTACACTGGGCTATTCTGAAATACTTTAGAATGAATGTTATTTGTATTGCATGACATGAAGCTGCCAGGCGATGGGAGTTTGGGTTGAAATACTCAGCATAATTTCTGGTGATCAACTGCAAGAGCGAATTTGGCGTCCCTTGCAGAAAAAGGGAGTCTTTTTTATTATTATTATTAGTATTTCATCCGGTGCCTTGGTACAGTGCTAGTGGATACAACCAGAAGGTTTTTGTTAGCTGCCCCAGTGTTCCTTTATTCGGGTACTGATTGAACTCAGTGACCTTACAGTGCCAGCACACGGGTCACTCAGTGTGACTTCCATTTAGCCCAGGGGAATTTATGAAGTCGATCAACTTCTGCCTGAAGCCTTTCAGAGGTTTTCAGCTTTCTTTTTTCCCCTCCTTCCTGCGAGGGGAACCTTTTCACCCTTCCCATGACTCCAGGAGAGGCTGTCCTCCAGCCTGCCCGTGCCTGCGATGCTTGCTGCGTGCCGGCCCTCCCCGCAGCCTTCGGGAGCACCGCTCCTGCACTTTTGGTGCCCCATGCAGCTGCTGGTGCAGCTGCTCAGCAGCCAGTGCACGCAGGTTGTGCATTCTCCCCCTGCCTCACAGATGAGGGATGCTGGAGCTTTACGCCCCCACCACCGAGCAGCCTGGCGTTGTGCAGCTCGCAGCCACACGTTTCCTGGAGCGTCCGTAGCGCCGCCTGACTCATCGAGCCGCTGAGATCTGGGGACACACGGCCGGAGCCCGCTCTCCGGAGACGTTGCCTCATCGCTGTGGGTCTGCAATACTGATCTGCCATGTCAGCCCTGGCGTCCTCCGTCGCGCCCCGCTGAGCAGGGACCATGGTGCTGTCGGGTGGCATCGCCGTGGGCATCGCACCTGGCTGGTGTCCCCACAGGGGACAGGCTCTGCTTCTCCTACCTGCCCCAGGTAAGCATCTGATCCTCAACAAAGAAGCACAGCGAGGGCAGCTTATTTTAAAATACCTTAAAACAAAATCCTTTTTTTTCTTTTTTTTTTCCTTTTTTTTTTTTTTCCCTTCCTCAGTTCCTTGGCAGGAAGTCTGAGTGTCCCTGTGCTCTGTGCTTCCCAAGAGGCCGGGGGGCAGGAGGGCAGCTGGCATCCCTGGCACGGCAAAGACCGTGGGCTGCCGCTCGGCACAAGCAGCAGTGATTTGGGGTGATAATGAGGGATTTAATCCTGGGCATTAGGCGCTGGCAGCAGGGACGTGGTGCGGCGCCTGTGAGCGCGCTGTCGCTTCATTTTGCACTGTCTGGGTGTGAAAGGGCAGCCAAGCTTTTGTTGGCAGTACGCGGGCATCTGTTACCTTCTGCCTGGTGCTGCCTGGGCAGATGCATTCGAGAAGAGATGCTCTGTGTGTCGGAGGCATGTGGAGAGTTAAACCCTGCACGGGGAGAGGGTCACGGGTCAGGAGAGAGAAAGTCATCCCCCTCCCGCTGCCACCGTCACCCATCCCCTTTCCTCAGCAGCTCAGGAGAAAGGGAAAGTTGCTCTCTGGGTTGTCTGGGCTTCCTGTCCTGACCAGCCACGCTTTCCTGAGTTGCAAAGAATCGAAAGTGCATGCAGCTGAGGAAATGCAAAGCAGCCGGAGTCGGGAACGTGAGCTGCTGCATGAATATCCGTCTGTGAACCAGCCAGGATCGGGGACGTGGCTTGTAAGGCGGCTGCCCTGCTGCAAAGGAGACCCACGGCTGCAGGAGGCTCAAGCAACATGATGGGAATCCGTGTCGGACTGGTAGCTGAATCGATTCCTTAATATGCTTTTATGTGTGGTCTGATCGGTGGAAGAGGCACGGAGGCAGAATACATCACGGAGCAGAGCTCTCCCAGGCAGCCCCTCCGGACCCGCAGGGCACGACAGGCTGATCGCCTCCGGGAGAGAATTCACGGCAGCGATCGGGAAGGAGCAAGAGAGAGAAAAATCGAACTGGGAAGTGAGTACAGTTTCCAGCACCTGCCTTTGCGTGCCTGTGGACGTGACCCTTTCCTGGCAGCACTGAACTTTGCGCGGTCGCAAGTCGTCTGGGTGTTAGCCTAGCTTTGGGATTGCTGGCGGTGCGGGTAGGAGGTAACGAGCATCAGAAATCTGAGCAGAAATGTCAGCGGGTCAGGAAAATGTTAGCATTGAGCCGTCTGCAGTGAATGCTAAGAACCTGTCGGTGTCAGCGATGGTACTGGTTTGGTTGTTTTTAAGGCAAGGGGTGGGAAGAGCAACCTGGTGCCTGGCGTCCGAGCGGCCAGGCTGGGTGTGAGGGTGGGGACAAGCACGGGTCATTCAGAAGCCACCACGGCACAGGCAGGCACGAGGGCTTTCTTCTTCCCTTCCATCCTTCCCGTGTCACCAGGGTGTCCAAACCACGTCCATTTGCTGAATAAACGTGTGGCTATTTCCATGTTGCTACAGGCATGCTGGCACCTAACACGGTAAAGAAAAGCTGACCTGAGTCCTTGCCCTGGAGACTGCATAACCTCATGCTCGTCCTTGCACATCAAGGGGCAATTATCTGGAGTTGTTTCCTGGCTTTGACATAACTTTTCTATTAACGTTGGAGAAAACAGCAACTTTTCTAAGAAGAGCACTTTTTCTAAAATGGGTGTAATGTTTGTGAGCACAATGCTCACCTCAAAGGGTGTTATAGGAATTAATGCTCATACAGGTCTCATCAAGATTCGGTAATACAGATTGTTATAGGAGTGCGGGCTAATTCTGCTGCTATCATCCACAAATTAACCCACGTGGTTTTAACAGGGGTGAGCTGTTGGCCAAAAATTTGTCTTCCTAGCATGAGGATGGAAATTGAGCCTTCTGCCCTGGCGAGGCTCTCCCTGCTGAAACTGGAAGCCAAACGTCCATGCTGTGAGTGGTGGGATTATGGGGGAGGCGACCAAATCCATTCAGGGGGCCAGCCAAGCCAGGCAGGAGCGCTAGCTTGTCATTATTGCTGCTTTGGGATGGATCCAAAAGGAGAACAGAGGTGTGAAAGACCCTGTACTGCACATCTCCACATCATCTTGTCCTTGTACCTCTTACCCTCAAATGAAGTGAAGTCTGTAATGCGATGAGCTGATAAAGAGCAGTGCAGTGATATTTTGAGAGAAAGATCTGTGCACACACACCTGCCATCTGGAAAACGTTTTTGCTCTGCTGAAACACTCAAATACCAAGGTGTGAAATACTACAGAAGTAAAGGTAAAGCTGCAATCCTCCCAGACTGGGAGGATCCTGAAGCTCCATGTGGCTAAATTTTCGGGGAGCATCACTTCTCAGCTCTGCTGGTGCACTGGACAGGTTGTTGCAGCCAGGGAAGAAGGCCTCGCTCACGGCCACTCGCCCGGTTTGCATGAGGAGTGCTAAATCTGAACTGTCCCCAGGGCCGGCGTGCCACAACGCCAGCACCTCCACGGGAACACAATTTCTCGATGACAGCAAAAAAGATCAGTGTTTCCCCGTCGCAGGTTGAGATCCCTCCCACAGGTGTCCTTGGGGTGGCTCAGAGGAGGCTGTGAAGCATTTTGTACCAGTGAGGGAGCAGTCAGCTGCCTTTAATTGCTGGCTGCTCTCGGGCCTGCCAGTGCAGATTTGTGTATTTCTATCCCCAGCCCATAACCGCACGGTATCCTCGTTCCCTTGGCCGAAATGGTGCTGTGAGCAGGCGAGGTAGGTAACTCGTGCTCAGCTAACCTAAAGTCTGGGAGAGGGAGAAAGACAGAATGACAGGGGGCCACACAAATACAAAAAGGAGTCGTGCTTTCAGAAAGTTTAGGGATTTTTGTCCCACGTTAGGGGAAGGAGGGGGCACTGAGAATGTGCTTCTGCGTGCACTCCCTCTGCCTTGCAGTGATCCTTTCCAGGAGGCTCAGAGGGTTGTTTTGCTGTTGGTGTGTGACCCCTCTCCCAAACCAATGAGCAGATGAGCACTCGGGGAGGAGCTGCTGCAGTGCTCCAGTCTCTGACACGTCGCTGATGGCAGTGTTGTTTTCTGATCCACAGGTCCAGAAGATGGCATAGGAACAGCGTCGCCTACCAGGGAGCTGGGGTCCTTTCTCACCTCCGTGCATGCTGCTTGAACGGACCTGAAGCCTTTGTTTTTGGACTGAAGAAACCTGCGCACTGCTTGCCTTGAAAACCTTTCTCTCCTAATTCATGAGCCAGCAGGATGTGGTCGCTGTGCTTTCAGAACGGCTTCTCATAGCTGCGTACAAAGGCCAAGTGGATAATGTGGTGCAGCTTATCAACAAGGGTGCCAAGGTAGCAGTTACCAAGGTAACAAGAGAAAAACGCTTTACAAAATCCCTGGGAACTAACATAACTCCTAAACCATTGTCTGTGAAAATGCCCTTGCAGCTTGGCAATTCTGAATGTAATTGAGGTTAGCGGTGGATTACAGTGTTGGGATTTCCTTGGAGTTTAGGCTTACTAGCTCGTGTAAATTTACAAAATAGTGCATGTCGTGTAGTTAGACGCTTCCCGCACACGCATGCACAGCTGTGGTGCACGCTGAGTCTTTCAAAACGTGCTGTGCTGACGGAGGGGCTGCGACGTTTTTCAAAACCTGCATTGACTTTGGGACAATGTGCAGAATGATGGATGGAGCAATTCATCACTGGCAGGGGAAGCTGCTCCAGAGCACTGGTCCTTCTGGCTGAGGGGCTGGGGGAGTGCCACCTGTTGTGGTAGGATAAAGGGATGCAGAAAGCATTTCTTGCCATCAAAGGCTGTCGGTACAGCGGCCTCGCTTGTATCTGACATCTGCACTGATTCCTGCTGTGCAGCCCCCATTCAGTTCCAGGCTTGGGGTTTGCAAACTGTGGTCCTCTACCTTGGAGGCAGAGTCAGTATCAAAGGGTTTCTGCTTAGATTTTAAAAGCCCAAACTGAGACTCACCTACTGCTCTCTCTCAATAATATTATAAATAGTAATATAATAGTAATAACAATATAAATAATATTAGCAAATAAAAGATGAGGCAGAAGTGGCTGTTGCAGAGACTGTACACTCAGCAAGAAGCCCTAAACAGAATTAGGTAAGTTAGATCTTTAGAGCTGCAATATAAAGTCTGGGCTGTCCTGTTTTGACAAGCTACTGTTTTCTATCCTACCTCATCCTATTTCTATTTCCATATTGGTTTTGAACCCTGTATGTATGGGAGCAAATATTCACAGACAGAAAGCAAATGTGAGTCCATCAGATAAGTCATCTATTTTTTCTGTTCTTATCTGTCCATGACAGTCGGTTGCAATTCCTTTGTGGTGTTTGGGCTGTGGACAGCATTTATTTTGAAAGGTGGAGTGATCCAAGGGCAGCCAATTTTAGTGAGTTTTGCACGCCAAAACTAAGCGGTGTTTTGCTGGTAGATGATATACACAGATAAAAAAATGTGAATGGTCCCATAAAGATACCTGGGTGGCTCTGTTGTCCATGCATCTCTGTAGCTGATCAACAGCTATTGGAGGTGGTCAGTAGTAGAAATAATTAAATATGTTTGAACGGTAGGGTTTTTTTCTTGTTTTGTGTGATGGTTTTTGTTTGGCTGTTTTTTAAGATACTGAGCTTTGAGGTTATTGAGGGACCTACCTGAAAATATACCAAGTACTGAAAGGGTGCCGCGTACTTTGTATAAATTTGTGCATTAAAGTAATTTTGAATCCAGCTTCCACACTGAACCATAAAATGTGGTGTAAATGCAATTTTCAATCAGAAAATCAGGTTCATTTGATCAATGCAGATTTGCAAGAGTTGGAAAAAAATTATTTCCTGCACAATGTAAGTGGCTTCTTGTTTCTTGCTCTTACATTCGGGGGGTGTTTGGGTGGCACTCAGGCACTTATCCCACCCACGTAGTGAGCCAGGTAGAGGAGAGCTCAGCGTAAATCAAAAGGCTTGACACCAAAGTGCTGCCCTCATCCCAGCCCATCACTTCAGGCTCAGAAATGTCCCACGCAGGTCTGCCGAGCATCTATTCTGCAGCTGGCTCTCACCCAGCCAGCCAGAGCCAGCCAACTGCACAGGGAGAAAACGTGCGTATTTGCCTGTGAAAGGCTTTGTGAACATGCATACCTTGGAAGAGCTTGGCTTGCTGATCCAGTGACACAGAGGCTGGGAGGAGAAAGAGCCATTCAGAGTCCAGGACGAGGCTGGCAGAAGAGCAAGCATGTGTAAATTCACCTCAAATATATTTAAACTGGAAATTTTAGGGGATTTTTCAGCCATCAGAGCAGCCAGGTTCTTCTGTGCTCTTTCAGTAAGTGGAGCAGACCCCCAGAATAACTACTTTTAAATTACAGGTTGCTCGTGTTAGGTTGGAAATTAGATGGCACGCTTGTCAAAGCAAGGAATTATTGATTAAGCTCTCAGATGAAGTGCCTTCTTCCCTCTCCAAGATAAAATTAATTGCAAAATGAAGCCTAAACATAAATTTATAAATTTATTCACATGCCTTAGTTCTCTTTTACTCGTGTATCTTCTGCTTTTATTTGCAATCTTCTGTTTGTTCTGTCAAATTAATTTTAAATTCTAGGGGTTTGGTCCAAAGAAAAAAATGACTTTTGTACCTCTCAGCCAAAATTCCCCCTGACTTCTATCAGAGCTCTGTTGCAAAAAGACATGCCAAAGCAAAGTTGTTTGGAGAAAATGTTCCCTCACCACTTTAGACTTGAAATGAGTTTCTGATATGCATCTGTGAGCGCAGACCAGTCCTTGTGGAACAACACCACGCTGAGCCCCAGCTTGAAGGGACTGAGGTCTAGACCTATACGCTGTGCTTTATTCCAACCAGGTTAATTGAGCGTGGCTTAAGGAAAATGAAGCCCGTTTTCCATAACAAACCAAGGACTATTAAATGCTGGATAGCTGGCAAGCTCGTCCGGTTCTAATTTTATCTTAAATTTGGAAAGTCATGCGATCTGGTTAATCGCTGCTTCAGTAAACAGTAATCCAGCTGCAAAATGGTGCCCGAGTTCCCTCTAGGATGGATTTGGTTCACTCTGACAGCACGAAGAGCAAGTCCAGCCCTCATTTCCAGATGAAGTCAGCATTGAAGTGTGTGTTTCAGCATCTTCCCTGACACCAGGATCAGCGAGAGACGGGTGGGATTCCAACACGCAGGTTCCTTTAGGAGGTATTTTGGTGGATGTGCTGCCAAAACTGGAAGATTAAGAACAGATCCTGCTATGATTAAGTCTATTCTTCCAATCTATAAAGCTTGTCCCATCTTTCAGTGCTTTTGTAGGAGAGCTTTCTTTCAGTAAACTTGTTGACAGCTTCGTCTTTGAAATGTAAGTGCTGGGACTTCTGCTGAGCTGCTCTGTCTTGCTGTCCTCCCAGAATGTCATTTTCCTTATCCCAGGTTATTTTCCTTTTTATGTTGTGAGCTGAGATAGGGCAGGGGGAGGGCTGAGGACCACCAGAAGGGGCAGAGGGGAAAGGGAGGCAGTGATGCATCGGATAAGACCAGCTGTTCTCTCGACCTTGTCCCCAGCATGGTGCCAGAGGAGGGGGGTTACAGCTTCATTTCACCTCCCGGCCTTGAACTGTAGCATGCCAGGAACTGCAGCCCTTGCTGTGGGCTTGCTTCACGCCTGGAGATGAAAATCCAGCTCTGAGCCTGTGTTAGAGCTCACCAAACCAGCGCGTTACTTGGTGGTGGGTTTCACTGGGGCACAGAATTAATGCTGCCCAAAAAAGCTGGGTATCAGGTGGGGGTGTGCCACTGGTCTGCTAAGCATGAAGAAGATTGCCATAGGAAGTAATAACGTGGTACAGGCAGTTTTAATGCCGTTTGCGTTGGGTTTTATGGATTTTTTTTTCAAAGGAAAGCAGAACACAGCTTTGCTGCAGAGCGCAGCGTTCAGAACATAGCTCTAAAATTGAATTCTGCCAGGAAAGGATGAGCGTTTGGGGAAAAATGTGAGTGCTGCTGTTTTGATTCAGCAGTTCTGTTTGTTTATCCGTTTGTTTCTTCGATTTGGGCTTTGGACTAGTCGTGCCGTGCCCCTGCCATCTGGCAGCACGTCGCAGTGCCGGGGTACTCGTCGACTCGTCATCGAGGTTTCAACTTGAGAGGATGCAGAGTTCTTGAAAACAAATATTTTCTTCCCAAGTGAAAAAAAAAAAAAAGAAATCTGTTTTGGTGCTTTCACATTTCTGTGCTACTTCAGCTTGAAGAACTCCTTATTGTCTTAAGTGGCTGTTTTAAGCGATAAATGAAAACAAACAAAAGGGAAATAGCAGACATTGAGGGACTTGCTCAGTGCCTGCTGAGGCCAATGGGAAGCTTTCTGCTGACTTTCAGCTTATTCATGGGGAAGAGCATAACAAATCATCGGTGTGAAGAATGGGACAAGGCTGTTCGCATTTTCAGGCTTTCCATAAAATGTGGCCAGGCATGTTTTTGCACAAATGCAGAGTGGATGAATAATCAGCAGTGCTCGTGCAGCACGACGCTGGGGTGGGGTGGAAAACTGGATGTGCTTGTGGAAAAGCATCCACAAATATAATGAAGACGAGGGAAGATCCTGCAGGTCGTGGTGCAAAGCCTGCCTGTGTGCACTTGGTGGCAGAGTGCACGCCTGGAGCAGCTCCTCCACAAAAATTCTGCTTTTAAACTGTACGTATTGACAGTTGCCTGTCAGCGTTTGGAAGTTAGAATACAGGTTAAATACAAATATTAATAATAAAAAAAATCCTGCTGAAATTCATCTGGATGTTTACTGTGCTGGGCTGCAGCCTGAGACGCCCCACAGCCAGAGCTCTGTGTCACGGCTCTTGGAGGTGGCAGCTTTAGCACAAGAGATCCCGTTTATTTTTAATAAGCCAGTGACACGGGGGGGGATTTGTGCGATTTGTGGCCTGCTGAAGCAATTATTCGCATTTGAACGAACGCCCAAATTGCATCCTTTTTATGTGAGTGACTGCTTTATTGGTTCATTAATCTGAGTTGTAGGAGCCTCTCATTTGTGTTTCTATTGCTGCCTGTGATAACCTCAAAACCATTACAGCCGATGTTTGGAAATGCCCACAAACCTTAAAGTCGGTGATCCTTCCACTGCTTGCACTGCCTGCACCGGAGGAGCCCTGTACAAGTCCTGCCTCTCTCTCCTCTTGTTCTGATGTTACCGGGAAGGAAAAGAAAACCTGGCCTCGTCGGTTCTCGCAGCGTTACGATTAACTGGGAGATGGCCAGTGTTTGTATGTGCCCTGAGGCACTGCATGGACAGGTGAGGGTGGCGTGCCCGGTGAGAGCTGGATCTGGAGTGGCTTGCACCTTTTCCTTGTGAAGCACGTGGCTTGGATGCCTGCCTCCGGGAGGATTTCCCCATTGCCATGCACTTGTTATGGGGTGCCTGTCTACATGAGGTGTGCTGGGTGAGGAAAACACATTCCTCGTATTAAAAATAAACACATACTCTTCTTCCAGAGTGTATTTTTAACAAAGGACCTTTGGCTGCACCTCGGTGGTTTGTTTTTTTTTTTTCCAGGAGTTAGAGATGGTTATCTTATCAGAAAATTTCCCTGCTGGAATATATCCATGAGGTTGGCAGCGCTCTCGTTTCACAGCACACGAGCTGCCTTCAGCCTGGGTTTGTTTCTGTTCTTGTTTTTTTTTTCTTGCTCCGTGTACAGATAACAACAAGTTGGTTTTGTGATACGCTAGCAGCCTGCTGGGAAGTGAGACACGCCGATTAGGTGATTTATTTATCGCAGTTAGGTAATGCAGAAGCTCAGAACCCATAAGCCTGGACGTGCTGGAGCACATTTCCATAATCCACGTGTATTGTTCGGAGCCGGGAATGATTTGTCAGCCTTCCCTCAGGTTCGTTTTCTCTTTCTCACGTTGCCTGGAGACTTTTATGCCTCCTGCCACTGAGTTACCTGAAACTGAGCCCTGGCTGTCCTCCAGGAGGCTGTGCTCTGCGGGGCCGGGGCAGCCCTTTGCTCCACGGCTGCCACCGATGGACCAGTGCAGCCACTCAGCTGGCACGGAGAGGCTGGTGGGGACAGCATGAAGCAAGCCCTTCCCACACCTTCTTTGTTCTGAAGAGGCTGAATTCCCAAGACTTCACCAGCCAGGAAGGGATGGGAATTGCTGGGAGCAGCAGTGATGAAGAAATAGACATAGAGCTGAAGAGTAGTGTGACACTCAGAAAATCATCTCAGAAAATGCCTGGGGGAGAAACTGTGAAGACAATTTGACGTCTTAAAAATGACAGGAACCCTGTTTTCTTCTTTGTGATTAAATACAATTTTCAATCAACATTTTTAGGTTTGTTCCTGTCTAACAGTTCATAAGGCGATGCTTTGAGGTCTATATTGGGGAGGCACATGTGTGTGTGTATACATATATATGTATATACACATGCTTCTTAGAGCAGAAGTTAATTCTTGGCCCTCCCCTTGTGAGTTTTCTTTTTGAGGTTATATGGGTTAGATTTTCAGGGAATCACTTGCTCTACTTTTCCTCTGTTGTCCAACCTCTTCACTCTTTGAGCCTCTTTTTAACGTAGATTCTTGTGCCCCTTATAGGAGAAGCAGCCTATTTCCCTTTTTCTGAAATGCTTCACTGTAAATTGTGCCACGGGATGATCAAATGGAGTGCAGTTATATGTAAATATTGTTTTCCCCACGTCATTTCACTTAGATTTTTGTAAGACATTTGTTGGTGTTTTACTTTTTCTAGTAATTTGATTTTACTGTCAAATTTCAATCCGTTTTTTCTTCTAAAACCATACATCATTTATCCATCTCTCTAATTAAAGCATTTCTGTCCCTCTGCTCATTAATAATTGATCTTGATTACACTATAGATTGATTTTCTTGTGAATATTTTATATTCTGTTTTTATATGGGCTAGAGCTCGGTAATGTTTACAAGTGTTGTCTAAAAACACCTGACAGATCTTTGGCAAAATGAGGTTGGTTGTCATACACATCGTCACCTGGAGAGACTTACAAATCTTCCACTGATTTTAAGAGGATAGCACTTGTTGAACAAAACAGTCCAGAAGTTCTTGTGTCTCTTGCAAAAATGCTACCCAACACAATATTTGATTTTGCCTGTTTTACCAAGTTTTTACTTTGTTTTACCAAGGAGGGTTGGAAGTGGCTGACAAATCTGTGCTCCAGAGGGACAGAAATAAAAAGGTCATGGATTCTCTCCAGGCATGGACACAAAACTGGCTCCGAGTTTGTAAGGATGATCCTTACATAGGTAGAATATCCCCTTTGTAGATTACCATCAGGATAAACTGAAATGTTGCAGAACGGGGAGGAGGAGTTTTATGCATATACAAAATAAGGGAAAGCCTTTTGTACACTAAAGTATGTCAACTGCTGCTACTGCAGACTTCAAAGAGAGAGGTATATACAGAAGAAGGAGGAAAAGGATATAATTCTGGTAAACTATTACATGTAAAAACTCACCTTAAATTATTTTTTATTTTCTTCTCATTCATAGCATGGCCGGACCCCCCTGCATCTTGCTGCCCACAAGGGTCACCTCCATGTTGTCCAGATTTTGTTGAAAGCAGGTTGTGACCTGGATATTCAGGATGATGTAAGTAGATACAGCTTCCCTGTTTGGGGTGGAGGGAAAAGGGCTTTTGTGCCATCAGTAATTTGCAAATAAGCATAGGTCTTCTCTTCTTTGATGCAGGATTAAAAGAAAGCAAAATCTGTCTCCGTTTTTTTCTAATTTGGAGATGCAGCCTCTAATTTGGAGACGCCAAATTTGCATGAGAGACAAAGTAAAACGTGGTGTTTCTCGACGAGTTGCTCAGTCCTTACGCTCCAGCTGCGGAGCTTTGTGCGAGCTGTGATTGTGCAGGGCTGGTGTGGGTAGCAATGAGAGCCGTTGGCTGCCGTTGGGTACAGAAAGTAAATTAGAGCTCGTTACACTGGGCAAGAACCCGCTGGAGGACCTCAGGTGGAGGATGTGATCCGTTTTGCCTGAAGTGGCAGATGCTTTTGTGTAGGTGCATGGCACAGCATATCGGGCAACTGCAGTGGGGAATTACCAAGAAGTGATCCCGTTGGCTGCCGTGGTTGATGCGGGGAGGTCGCATCTGTCAGGCTGTTGGGTGGTAAGCATCAGCACAATGCAAACAGCTTCGAGGTTAGTAAATGGTAGCTTGTTTTCATTCGGTCAGCTGTGTAGGTTGTTGGAACTTCCTCGTTTTCCATTAACTTTCTGACTTTCCATAAAAATTTCTAATCTTGCATCAGGCTTTAAGGCACGTTGGAATGACAGGTAACAGTTTTAGCTACCTCACTCTGATGAACAAAAACGCAGGCTGAAATGTGCAACAGCAGTTGAATAGTTATGACTTCCCTTCAGTTCGTTGCTAACTTCTGATGTCACACTGGCACAAATTTGAGGAATGGTTGCTTCGTTTCCCTCTCTAATAAGTAAGATTCTTATGGGACCTGGAGGCCCAAAGGTTGCTAGTAGAGGCACCCGTATGACTATTATAAGGACAAAGAAGATGTCTAGGTGCCTTTTGAAAAGCCATTTAGGCATTTGTTTGCATGCAAAGGATCTTAAATATCTGTAGAAACTGGAAAACTGGTTTTCTTCTCCACATGAGCAGCTGCATCCCCATGAGGTGCAAGCAGTCAGGCAAGTGCACGCCTGTAAAACTGTGGTATTAGTGCAGCCGACTTTCTACTGGGGAACTTGTTTTTCTAGGAGGAAAATTTCCTTCTTGCACTCTTTATGCTTTCGCTTTGCCCTTCTGTAAAAAGGAGCAGATTTGCAAGTGTAATGGCAATATCAGTTTAATCAGATATATCCTGAATATGTTTTTAGACATAAATGCAAAAATGCATAAAAGCAGAAATGATTCATCAGATATTTAAGACAAAATTGCAGGCACTTTACAAGTACAGTCAGTGTTCCCGAGAATTGCAAGTAAGACTGCAAGAGCTTCCACTGATTTGCTCAAATTGGGTTTCTGTGAAAGCTGCTTTTTGAGTGTCTTTTTTTTTTTTTTTTTTTTTCAATCCTCCAGTCCTAAAATCTAGACTACTTATGTGTAAACGTGATTCATTTGCCATAATGGAAGAAGAGTAGGTCGGTGTTTAGCAGTATTTTGATTTAGCGAGGAGTCTTGCACTGCAGAAATATCCAGCTCATAAAAGGCCTTATTTCACTTGCCTGGCAAGCTTCTCTGGGGCTTTGTTCACAACAACTGGATACCTCTTCTTAATGTGGTGACTGACCTGAACAGAACAGGTGCATGCTTGATTTACAGATGCTATTTCTTAAAAGCACAGTTTGATTTTGGCTCTGTATTTAGTGCTAGTCATCTGGTTTGGGCTAAGGAGAACCTCAGGAATTGCTGAGACTCAGAGGGTGGGTCTGGATTTGACTCGAAGGAGTAGGTGGAAGGCTAAACTCCACGTGAGGATTTTTGCTTGTGAAAGGTATTAACTAAAATATTTCTGCTTTCCTTTTGCATAGGTCATCAAGAAGGTTCTCTATTTATGTTTTCTCCTTGTATAATTCATTTTTACACTTTATTTATGCCATACAGAAATGTTCATATTCTTTTTTAATTGCAATCTATTGATTATGCCTTCAGTCACTCTTACCCTGTGCTTATTTGGCAGTGAAGGCACTTTAGCATCAAGTGTTGATTAACATCATTGCATTTCATTTCAGGAATACTGATTTAGGTTCAGAGATTAAATTGCTCATGAGAGTGGGGAGTATCGTATTTTATTGAAAATTAAATTACTTGATTTTTGTCTGCAGAATTATGATAACAGAAAGAAGTCTTCAGGTTCTAAAAAATACGCATATTTTATTATTTTTTTTTAATAACAAAAGAAATCAACATTTTATTTTGGAGTTGACTGTAGCTAATAAATGCAATACTAACTCTTCATCTGCTAACATGATAAGCAGAAACTTAAAAACCGCTAAATGTTTTGGAGAGATTCAAACACTAACTTCATGTTCTACAGATATATTCTTTAGAACACGGCAAGAGCCGTGAGAATTAGTTGAAGAATGACCTCCAGTGGCCTGGAGTGGGATTATTATGAATTTCAACCGGTGGAGTCCAGCTCTGTAGAGTACGCAACCCCGGGAGCTAATTCTTTCCTCCTCCCTGGCAATCCTGAAAACTCTTACTGGGATCCCAATGCAATCTCTGACTGGTCAATGAGTATTCATACAGCACACACCTCAGAAATAGTCAAGGAGAAAGTTGTCCCGGTGAAGGAAATCAAGGAAGAGAAAGATAAGAAAAACCAGAAGAGAAAGGCTAGAAAGGAACCTAGAAGATCAGAGAGAGAGAAGGAGGTTAGAAATCTTGTGCGTCGATCCTGCCTTGAGCTTCTCTTCTCCCATGGCTGCATGCTGCAAACTCTTGGACTGGCAGCCTGGCATGACAGCTCTTGGAGGTGCATGACTGCATGGCGAGCTTTGTGCTGGGTGCTCCGCATAGTTTCCTGCCCTGTATGCGCTTTCTGCAAATCTAACAGGGGAAAAAAAAACATAAACTTTAAAACCCTGAAAAGGCCCTGAAATTTCTCTTCTGGAAGTTCCACCTTAAGAAGCAGAAAATTAATTTCAAATGGAACAATAATCCAGAGGTCAAAATCATTGCTAGTTGAATGTAAATATGCAAAGTGGCTTATTCTTATGCTCCCATTTAAGTCTCGTTTAGCGTCATTTAAGCTGTAATTTCTTTCATTCATGTTTATTTTTTCACGCCTTGATCACTTCTGCTGGCCATGCATCATCATTTATTGTTCAGAGTGAAATTCTGCTCACTGTGTATTTGTGACGAATGACTTTCTTCAGCAAAGGAGGAGGACACTGGCACTGAGAAGCACTAGGGCACATCCAGTTGCCTTTGTGTACAAAGGCTTCAGAATATTCAAATACGCTTAGATGTTCTTCGGAGTATTTTACACTTGATTATATTTTCACTTTTGAATGTTTTTCGAGAACTTTATACTATGCATTCAGTGATTTGATTTCAAAGTATGAGACTTCGCAAATGCTATCCAGCTCTTTGTATCAGGGAGTGAAGGCATGAATTTTTGCTGTTGATTTTGATGCAGTTCTGTATCAAAACAGTTTGGCAATTTCTGCAAACATGAAAAGACAGTGAGGAGGCAAAGCATGACACTGGAAGGGGCTTTAAATGAGACCATGGAACTGATGGAGGCTCTGGAGAAGAGGAGTGTGTAGGAAAACAAATTACAGTGGTTATAATATCTTTTAAAACATAGAAGGGAAAAAGTAACATGTATTACAAGCCAGTGTAAACTAGATCTCATTAAATTTGGGGGTTAGAGTCTTTGGGATTAGAGACTCCAATACCTCTGTGATAGTCCTGTACCGTGACAGTGGCAGGATGGCTGTGAGAAGTACTAAGAGGTACCCGAAACTCTTGATCGTGTTATTTTCTTGTCCTTGGAGTGAACTTCAGGTACGAAATAGACAGGTGTCTGGTCCCAGTGGTTGCATTCACTGCTTTAAGTTAGTCAGCAAATGAAGAAACTTGAGGTGCCTGGAAAGTAATCACAAGCACCAGGATGCTGAGCAAACGCCACCTTGCCTTGCCAGCACAAAAATGATAAAAGAAAGAGTAATGCTAAAATCTGTGGAGAAGGTCGGGATTTAGGTATGTGCCTTTCTTCAGGGTTCATGGCCTGCAGCTCTCTGCTGAAAGCAGGCATTTAAGCTCTGTCAGGAGCACGGTTTTAGGCTCTGGAAACCTACCTGGGCCTTTTTATGCAATAGCTCTGCTGTATGTAGAGCACTCGGGATGTCCAGTCCCTTATACTCTGCCCAAGGGGATGCTAACCGTGGTGGGCCTTGTGGGGTGGTGGGCCTTGTGGGGTGGTGGGCCTTGTGGGGTCTGTGTGGCACTTGTTCCAGCAAGCATGCTGGGAGGTGGAGGGCAGACACCTACACAGTGGGCTGTGGCACTGCTCGGTGTGAGGGACACCTCGGGTTCCCCTTGGGTCCCATCTTGGGTTCCATCACCGCGCTGGTGCCTTGTGGTGCAGGACAAGCTGAGATGTCCTCAGTGTTTGGGTGGAAATGCCCCTGTCTTAGTTACTTTCAGGGCTAGGCAGCAGCTAACACAGGGGATTTGAGAGGCACTGCTGTAGGCTTAGCTGCCTTACTTCTACCAGGTCTCTCTTAAGCACCTGAGCGTCCTTTTGGCTTCGGGCCCACGTCTGCATTTAGGCAAGCTCGCTTCTGTTGTTTCTGTCAAGGTCACATTTGTGTGACACCGGAGTTATCGCTCTTCATTGTTCCTGGTTTGCAGTCTGTTCCTAAGGCGTAAATCACTTACAAATAGGATCATAAATTGTGCCCAGCATAATAGTCTGGGCAGTTAATGTGCACTTTCAGGTGGATTTTTTTTCCGACTCTCTAGACTGGTCCCTTAATGCTTTGCTGAAGGCAGAACTCTGATGAACGCTTTCAGAGGCAGTTATTTTAGCAATTAATAAAAAGATGCATGAGTCAGTGATTGCACTGTGTGAAAATGCACACTCTGAAAGAAATATAGCTCATCTGTTATACGTGGCTCCATAAAGGCAAGTTCCTGGTTTGCTCCTCTACTAGTGGGCAGGGCAGATGGGTTAACAATATTGTGATGCCCTTCATATTACTTATAGCTGGGTTATGTGATGTGCCTGGGCTGCTCAGTAGCTCACAGCACAGAGGGAATCGTGGGCTCTGGGCTCAGTTTCTGTGGTGTGCAGCCAACGTGTGTGCTGAGGTGTGAGGGAATGGCCCACCAAACCCTGCCCTGAGGGCTGGGGTTGTAGGGACCATCACCAGAAAATCAGGATCTTCCTGCTCTTCCCTGGGAGGTGCCTCAGCCCAGCAAGGCAGGACCAGAGATGTACTTTGACACTCCCTGGTATGTGAACAAGGTCAGGACCTCGTCCATTCATTGACCTGCTCAGGAGGCTGCCTGAGGACCAGAATATTGCCCGGGAGCAAACCTGGGCATGGCTCCCGGTGCCACCCCACATCTTCAGGAGGAGCTGCCCAGGCCCGGGCTGGGCTGCTCTGGGCGCAGCAGGCCCTGAGGGAGACCTGCTCCTGCAGCAGGGAGGTGCTTTCAGATGTGTTTGGTTTGAATTTAACTAAGATCCTGTCAGAAGTAGCTGCCATATCCGCAAACCCCCCAAAGCTGAATGTCCTTTGACCTCACTGCAATTACTGTCGTGAGGCTGGGTGAATGACAACGGCAGCCTTGACTTCAGGTGTACTCAGCGAGGGGATCCTTAATTACAAACTAAATCCCATACAATCCATTTCTGCCCCCAGTCTTATCTCCACAATCAATTTTCCAGCCTGCAAAGAAGCAGTAAGCAGCTACTCATTGTCAAAGCTCCGTCCGTCCCCACGGCAGGTGTCATCTTGTTTTCCTCCTGGTTGTAATGTCCTCTGGAGTTTTGCTGGGGTAGCAACTACAGGTTGGCAGGATAAGTTGATGGATTACATTCCAGGTTGTGGTCGGGAGGTGAGATGGCCTTTGCACCGTTCACATTACCCGTTGCTCTGCAGTAGGGTGTTAAGTTCTGCCCTGGCTTGTTAGAGAGCAGATTCCTGTGCAGGAATAGTTACTGGAAGCTATCTGACACTTGCACATGTGAGATGGTATATTTTGGAAGATTTCCATAACATTTTGGTTATCTTTCAATGTAGAATAAATACACAACTTCAGGGACCTTGCAGTGCTGTCAGTTTTGCCATAGTTCACGTTTTTCTAAAAATCCAGGTTCCTGGGACTATTCTTGTGTTTGTTTTAACTCTCGTCAAATACAGTGGGAGTCTTAGTAGGGCAAGAAGAAATGTAAGCATATGGCACTTCTACAGATGAAATACAAATAGCAAAAGAAAAAAAAAAAACACACCTCAGTGTAGTTTTTTAAGTCAGCTTTATGAAAATAAGCCAATTTAATGATTTGCTGATGTTGGGAGTTAGCATTGCAGGGGTTACTGCGAGGTTGGGGTTGGCAATGCTCATTTTGCCCCTGTGGATTGATAACTGTTGTGCTGTCATTAGCATAAAAGAGCCCCACTGAGAGCAATTTTTAAGTCAGCTGCTAATTGCCTTTGAGAACAGATTATTCAAATTATCCAGTTATTTAAGTAATTGTAGGCTGTGGGATAGAAAATATGGAAATCCCTTTAGTTTTAGTATTTAATATCAGGTAATACCGGATGATAAAATTTCTCTACTACAAATCTTTATATCTTTTTAGGACTAGCTTCCTGCAAGCCTTTATTTTATTCATTTTTTTTTTAATTTTAATTTTTTATTATTATTTTTTATTATTATTTTTTTTCTTCTGCAGGGTACACTGCATCTCTCCTTTGTGTATTTTTGGTGGACATTGTCTAGATAAACAGAAGCAGATTGGGCTCCCACTCTGCTGTTTATTCATCCCCAAAAAAAGGCTGTGTGCAGCTTTGAAGCTAGTCTTTGTGCCTGCGCTCCCAGGCTGTGCTTCAGCACTGCAGGTTCAAAGCAGCTTCAAAGAAGAAACACGACAGGTTGTCGGGGGAGCACAGGAGACGCTGCAGCTTGGTTTCCCATTGATCGGTGTCTTACATCCCTACGTGCTGCTGCATAAATCCTCCAATTTCCCCCCTTTCCTCACCATCTCACAAAAATGCACATAAAAATAATGTCGATAGCCCAGATGGGCAGAGCAGGGTGAGAGATCTTGGCCTCTCTAGCTCAGCAAATAAGTTCAACAGTTAGAGGGGAGATAGATGGGTGGTCAGGTGAGATGCATCAGCATCGTTTCTTTTGGAAACTTAGCCATAAAAGAAATAAATGGATATAAGAAACTTGCTTGTTGCTGCAATGTGGCAGGTCCATGAGAAGGGAAAGTCATTTGGACCTTAAGATCACTCAGTTGTTTGAATGAAATAAGCTGAATATCTTGCAGTTGTGATCCTCATCATAAAATTGCCTCCACTCTTAGCACTAATTGGTAAATCCATCAGAGGTGCTGAAGACACCAATCTCATCTCATGCTCCTTATCCTAAGCAGGGCTGATGGAGCAGTCAGAGCCCAAATGGGAGAGCCTCATCCTGTTAGTGTAAGTAGTGGAGGATCATTGTGATGAATTATGACAGCCTGTAATTGCCTTTAGAGATATTGTTGGTTATTAGGTACATAGTGCCAAATGTGTTAGATTCCCTGCCTTGTAATACTGCCGTATTTTTAGAAGACTTCAGTGCTGTGTATGGAATTGTGATGAGTTGAAAACTTCGGAAAATAATTGTTTTATAGGTCTCTGATGCTTTTTAACTTCATTAATCTTGGAAACTTTAATGATAGTTGTTTATGGGGACTGTTTTCAAAGGCAGCTTGGATTTAAACAGCACGTGTTGAAGATGCAGCCTGTGTGTGTGCTGTGTGTGTGTGTGTTGACTGTGTTTGTATTAAGTCAAAATTGGGTGGCAACAATACGGATTAAAGATGTGCTTCTTTTCACAGGGCGATCAGACAGCATTGCACCGGGCTGCTGTTGTAGGGAACACCGATGTCATTGCAACTCTCATTCAAGAAGGTTGTGCTTTGGACAGACAAGACAAGGTAACAGGCAAAAGCAAAGCCCTGTGGGGTGGCAGCTTTGCCAACCAGTAATATTAAGATCTCATTGACGGAGAAATAACAACCATACTATGCCCTACCCAAGACACTACACAGTTTCCCTCGATTATCCCAGAAGCTGAGAATCCCAGGCTGTAAATCTAGTTTGTAAATAAAGATAAGTCCATGTTCCCAACAAAAGCTTTTGGGCTATACTCTGCTTGCAAGGGTAAGTGGGGAAGAAGTGGAAGGTGAAGGCAGCAGGACGTTGAAGATAGGAAGAATAGAAAGGAAGATGTACCTAAGGTGTTTATGGAAGTTACTTTAAGTTTTAGTCTGGGATATATCTGCATCTGCTAAAAATAAATAGAAAATTAGCTAGCAGGAAAGGAAAGAAGATTTATTTCTCAAGTGACCAGGTGACACATGCAGCTGCTGCAGTCTGAATGTAACATTACTCGGTGTGAGGACCCAGTGCACTAAACTTCTCCTCTTGTGTGTGTGCTCTTCAGGACGGGAATACCGCTCTTCATGAAGCTTGTTGGCATGGATTCAGTCAGTCTGCCAAAGTGCTCGTTAAGGCAGGAGCTAACGTGCTTGCCAAGAACAAGGTGAGACACATACAGAAGGAGCTTTAATTTCTAGTGTAAGGTGGCTGATTCTCATCGCTGGAGACTTTTGGTCATGGCATTTCTCGGGAGGTTGGAGACCAGCTCCTCATGGGACATTTTTGCTCTTCTTTTGCATCTGTTATGCTTGGATGGTCCCGCCACAGGCATGAGGAAATTCTTATTTTGACAGATGATGCTGGAGGAACTCAATTGCACTTTGATACATCAGTTAGAGCAGAGGAACACTGCAAGTCCTGTGGAAATCCCCACAGTGCTCTAATTTATATGGAGTGTATTTGTGGTGATTGGTGTGGTTTAAAATGAATATGAGTTGTATTAATTGGAATGTGGCATTCAGAATCCATTTTCAGAAAATGAACAGCCAAATGAATGTAAGCCTCGGAGGGAAAAAGTAGTTGTGTATCTTTTGTGAGAAAGCTCTTCCTGATACATAAGTGTAGGCTCTTACCAAAAGCTTGTAATGAACCTGGATTACCCTTCTTTTGGTATTTATAATATCTTGAGAGCACGTCAGAGGAAAGAATAACAGAGCAAGGCATTTTAATTCCACACTAACTGTGATATTTGTGGGAGACTTGTCTTCGGTTCACTAATTCAAAGGTGAAGGAAATAGCAGTAGCAGCCCATGGTATGAGCTGAGTTAGGGCCCACAGTGCCAGTGGGTTGGTCAGGTTGCATGGGTAGCACCATGTCCTTTGTTACAGGTAACAAAGGGTTTTGGGATGTTTTTATGGGATCTCTGAGCTTTTTTTCAAGCAAATGACATGATATTTTGGTAAATTACAACAAAAAGTGCCAGGGAAGAAAGGCGAAAAGGGAGGTGTGGTGAAATATTTGAATAAGAAAGCCTCAGCATTGCCTTGGCACGGTTCTCTGTCTTTCCATGTGTGTGTATGCATATATTTGTACAATTGTGGTCACTTGTGGTATGTCGTTACATCATCTTTGATATTATTTTATGTGTACTCCTTCTTTTATATTGTTCCAACTTCCATTTTTTTTCCTGTGTTGTTCATCTCGATTTGCTCCAAAGGTACTTGAGACCACTTCCCATGCTTACACCTAACAGACGATAGTACCTGACTTTATAGGCTGCTGAACCATGTAACTGCTGTCCCTGGATGTGCTTGTCTCTATATATGTGTATCTATGTACAAATGTATGTGCTTAAGAGGCAAGTCGTGTTATCCTGCATGCTCGGATGCCTTAGGGTGTTAGAAAATTTAGCTTGTAATACAGCATCTGTCAGCTGTTTGGAGACATCCTCTCCTAAAAAGCACACGCACAGAATGGCTTAGCAGTGTTAGCATCTGAGAAATGACCGGAGTACTGCCTGAGCTCCTTCTGTGCTGATCCTTTGATGTCTTACCTGTGCAGTCCTCTCCCTTTGCATTTGATCATTTGATGCTTTTTAATGGACGGGGCCTTTTCTCAGGAGCTGCTGAAAAACAAGGGAACTGGTGCGTGCTTGCACTTTGACCCTTTCTGCTTTCAAGAAAAAATGAAGAGCTTAATTCTGCTTAATCCCAAAATGGTTTCCTGGTCTCTCAACTTGCAGTGATACTGATGACAAGGCATACTTTTTCTGACAGCTTTCCTGGCAGCCAGGACTAAGAGCTGTGTGCAGGAGCACCTTGCAGTCCCGTGGCTTATGCCTGGGCATCTTGAGGCTTTGGCTGAACGGCTCTCACTGCCTTGTTAGGGGGACAGGAACGGGCTGCTGGATTTGTCAGATCCTGCCAAGCAGCAGAGGACGGGAGGATTTGGGTGTGTTTTTGCTGTACCTCCTGGTTAATTTCTCCTTGGACTGCCTGGGGGACACTTGTGCATACACACTTCTTGCAGCACGGCATCCTGAGCACAGGATTTAAAAGAGCAATGCAACTGAAGACAGTTTCTGTAACAAATGAAATGCAGAGGCCACACAGGACACCAGGGATTTTAAAGGCAAGACAGGTGGCATTTGAGGAATGGGACAACATGTGGGGAAGGCACCTGGGTACCCGTATTCCTCCTGCCCAGCAATCACCCTGAATACACAGTTTATTCCCAGTTTATTTTCAAAACCCGAAACATTTTCAGGCCAGCAAAAGCCAAATGCTGTCAGAAAAACTTGTCAGACCAGCAAAATGCTTCACAGGGTTAAAAAAGCAATACGCAGGCAAAGTCTTTTTTTTTTTTTTTAATTATTTTATTTCTTCCAGTACAAAACTTCATGTTGGGAAGAAGCAAGTTTCCCAGCCCTGGGTGGATCTTCTTGTGGGGAGACCTGCGAGGTTTGGTTTTGTAAAGCTCCTGTCCAACTTCTGAATACGACTTTTGTGTTTTCCTGTGTTTCTCTAAGGCAGGTAACACCCCTCTGCACCTGGCTTGCCAGAACAGCCATTCCCAGAGCACTCGTGTTTTGTTACTTGGAGGATCCCGAGCAGACCTCAAAAACAATGTGAGTTTGGAAAAGGACACGTGTTCATTTTCGTGTGCCTCTGTTGTAGCCATACTGCTTTAACTCGTGGAAGTACTCAGGTTTTAAACCGTGATTTTTGTCAAAAATTCAAAACCAAACACTTAACAAATGGTTGTTCATGTTGCATAGAGGAATGCTTGCAGTAGGGCTGGGTGAGGCGTTGCTTGCACCCGGCTCCTGAGTGGGGCTGGAAGGAGCCTTTTGGGGTCAGAAGCATGTAGTGTCGTGTAATTCTGCAGTGGGGCTCCTGTTTCAAGAAGGTGGGAATCTTACAGGGGTTTTATGCCAGCACGGTGAAAGCCTTCAGGCCTGCCCTCACAGCCAGATCGTGCATACTGCGTGCTGCTTCCTCCCGTGAGGTAGATTCAAGGTGACTTCACAGCTTTCCTCCTGTTTTGTAATGGATCTGGCGTGACAAAGGCAAAAACCAAAACAAACCAAACCTACAAGTGGAAGCCAGATGTCTTTATCCTGCTGAATAACCCCGGGGCAGAAGCACGCAGAAATGGAAACGTGGGGCTCTGCTCCCAGCTCAGCCCCAGCTGCCCCTGTGCTGCCCCTCCTGGGAGCTCAGCTCAGGCCCCACTCCTCATCTGTTCTTCAGCATGTGTGACTTTCCAAATCACACTGGTTTTTGGGGGCAGGAGGACAGATGTAATGCGAAAATGTGAGTGCAGGGCTTTTTAATCACGTCGTTTTCCATCAGTGGTTGAAGAATTGGTGCCCCCTCCCTTCCCTACCCCAGCTATCGCTCAGCTTTGTACCAAAGGGAAGACAGCATTGCTGGTTGGCGGGGGTGGGGGGTGTGACGTTTGCTGCTCTTTTTGGTTTAACAGGATTATTGCATCCTTGAACACCATGACGAGTGCAAGCTTCCCTACTGCAATGACATGCTCAGAGCTTTGTTTCTGTTTGCAGGCAGGAGATACCTGTCTGCATGTGGCTGCTCGTTATAATCACTTGCCCATCGTTAGGGTGCTGCTCAGTGCTTTCTGTTCTGTCCATGAAAAGAACCAGGTCAGTGCATGAACCTCATTGCGACTCTGCGCCCCTCACACGATTTTCTCGTTGGAAAGAGAGGTTCCCACCCAGCAACCCCACTTCCCTGTGTGGCTCACTGTGCTGCCAAGTGCCTCGGCTTCCCAGGGTAGCTTTAAAGCCATGGCATATCAGTGGTTTATTATTTTCCCATCACATTTGCATCTTTTCTTTAAAACATTTCCTATTTATGAGGCGCTGCAAAGCTGTGTTGGTGCACAAAGGGGTCTGGGGAGAGAGCAATGGGTCTGGGAGAGAGGCTTGGTCATTTTTTGGGGCCTGTTTTCTCCTCCATCACTGGGTGGTAACGATATCACAGGGGCACTGTGATGCAGGGCTCACTCATGCTCATATGCTGCAGAAGTGCAAATTTCTCTGGAATCCTGCATTTTGCAGTAGTGGGAATAAAAATACAGAAAAATAGGAAAAAATATGCTTTAAATTCAAAGCAATGATCAGTTTAACCTAGGATTAATCATCATGGTTGTTATATAGGGAAGAGATTGCTTGCTGTACCTGTAGCACAGCCTAATTGTGTGGAATGGATTTAGTGCAGTAAAACATCTTTTTGCACAGGGGGGCACCACTTTCCCTCTTTTTTTTCCCCAGTACTACCCAAAGGTGCTCCATATTTGCACATCTCATGGTTTTAGTAGTGGACACGCCTCATCCAAGTAGCAAACAGTAAGATTTCCACTGGCCTAGAGGGGACGTGCCTCTAGAATTTTACGTAGACAAAAAGAAATGTGCCTTTTTTTTGCAGGGCAAAGGGGCCAGGAGGGCATTATATATGGGTGCAGTGTCCCTCGGAGAGCTGCTGGCTCCGTGACCAGCCCCTGAACCCGATCCCAGCAGTCTTCACCTCAGTACCCAGGAACAAGGGCCAGGCCGTGTTTGAGTGCTGGACCCATACCACCTCCTGGCTTTATTCCAGAAGCTGTTTTGTTGGTTGTTTTTTTTTTTTTTTTTTTTTTTTTTTTTCTCCTGGGGAATCTCATGAAGAGAAAACTGACCGTCTCACTGCTGCTAATTATCAGATAATTTCTGAGTAACGCGATACACGACCACCTGCACACCAAGGAGTCAGAGGTGCAGCAAAGAAAACCTTGCAGCGGGCAAACCCATCCTGCCCTCAGGTGTTGTATCCGCTGGCTGGAGGGGAGCTGGGCTGCCTCCAGCTGTGCCGTGTGTCACTTCATTTAATCAAAGCCCCTCACCAGCACCTTGTTTGCATTCCTCAAAACGAGGCCGGAGTAGCTCTTTGCCCCTCCTGTCCCCTTCTGCCCGGCTCTGCGTTTTTGTGGAGCGAGCCTCACTGAAGCTGGGTTGTTGCAGCATTTTAAGCACAGGTCTTCTGGCCTCTCAGCACCCCACAAGAAGCTGAGATTTCTGCCGGGCGAGACCCGAGGCCGCATTTTACACGGCTGCTTTCTGCTTTGTGCCTTGCAGGCGGGAGACACGGCGCTCCACGTGGCTGCTGCCCTGAATCATAGGAAGGTGGTGAAGCTGCTGCTGGAGGCCGGGGCCGATACGGCAGTTGTCAACAACGTAAGTAGGACGTGGAGCTCCTCTGGGAGTTTGTGGTCGTGCAGGCTCTCTGACGCTCCAGTGTGGGCAGAAAATATTTGGTGTTGAATTAAATCAGGTACATGGAAGCAGTTACTCACTTTGCTCTTTTGCACGGGGCACGTACTAACCTCCGGGGGAGAAATCCTCCATTTCCAGTGTTCTGAAGGAAATGCTGTTGTCTTTTTCCTCTCAGGCAGGTCAGACCCCTCTAGAGGTTGCCAGACAGCACAACAACCCCGAGGTTGCGCTTCTGCTCACTAAAGCATCCCAGGTATGTTGCAAATGTCTTCTGTTGGCAGCAAACTCTGGCCCTGACACAGGTGGGGCTGAGACTGGTTATCCCCAAGGGGCCACAACGCCGTAGTCTTAGCCTTCTGCCATGAAAGGTGCCTACATTTCTGCTGGGTGTTGCTTAAATACCTGCTCTGCTTGGCCCTTCAGCATCTGGGGGTGTTCTCTCCTTTCTGTATTGCCTGTTAGGAGAGGTGAAAGCTATGTCTGCTTTATTTCTCGGCTTCTGTATGGGGAAGGAGCATGGCATCCCTGAGTAACAGTGCCCTCTGCCTCCAGGTCTCACGCTTCAATCGCGGCAGAAGCCTGAGGAAGAAGAGGGAGAGGCTGAAGGAGGAGAGGCGAGCTCAGTCGGTGCCACGGGATGAGGTGGTACAGAGCAAGGTACAGCCTGGCGTTACCAACTCCTCCTGCTGCCACAGAGGGAGCCTGAACAAAAGCCACTGGGGCTCAATCTGCCTGGATCACACCTGGGGCTGACAGCAGCAGCTCCCTGCATGGGCCAGCCAGGGGAGGCCGGGTGTGTTCTGCTGCTGGGTGCCCACCCGGGTGTGCAGAGCAGCTCAGGACTAGGAAATGGGAGAAAACTCCTTTTCCCTAATGTCTCCCCGACTGCTCTGAGCCCCCTGTGTCTGCTCCACGCAGGGCAGCGTCTCGGCTGCTGACGACACCCAGAGCAGCGACCAGCCGCCCCAGAGGAAAACAGATCTGAAGGATGAGCCCCGGTCCACCTCTCCGGATCCCAAAGGGAAGAAGAGCAAAAAGAAAAAGCCAAAGGAGAAGGTATCAGTGGGTTTAAAACAGCAGAGAAGGGATTGTTGTTGAGTACGGGTGTCCCTCTGGCGTGGCAGTGAGCCAGGGCACCAGCTCTGCCCTGCTCACGGGGCAGAGGCAGCCTTTGGACAAAACTGGTTTCTGGTGGGGAAATTCTCCTGTTGAGGACACATGGGTTTGTGCATAAATCTGTTTTTTTTTGCTGACAAAAACCACGATTGAGGTGAGTAATGCAGCTGGATTTGCGTTTTAATCAGGTTTTTGCAGTAATTATCAAACAGGATTTCTCATAAAAGGGTTTCCCGCCGGGAACAGTTTACTGAGGGGCTCATCAGCAGGTAAAACGTGGCTCGTGCTTTCTGCAGGTTTCAGCACTCTCTGACCCCATTTCCCCGGCCGACCAGCAGACACTCCCTCGGCCCCAGCAGAACCTGCCAAAACGCAGAAGTAAACACCACTGCTCCTCCCCGCCGCCTCCCCACGAGGTCCGGGCCTACCAGCTCTACACCCTCTACCGAGGGAAGGACGGGAAGGTGATGCAGGTGAGTGAGCTGCTGCCTCGTGGGGGGAGGCACGCTGAGCAGCACTCCTGGCAGGTCAGACAGAAAATGCTCTGGCTCAACTCCACGTCATGGGTACGAAGTAATGACTGCAGATTTATTTTCCTTGCTTGGGTGGTGTTATGTACGCTAAGGAATGGGTAAGGAGTTTTGCTCTAGAAAGTAGTAACTTTTTGGAGGCAAGGTGTGACCGGTGGCTGGGAATGGCACTGGAACTTAAAGGATACACGTTGAAATATTGAGATTTCTGATAAGGAAGGCAAAAGAAATTTTCCAATGAAAATAAATGAAAGTTGTGTGAGCACTGACGCTTACTCCTTAAACCCCATCCTCCAGTCCACTCAGTACAGTCTGTCTCAATTCTTTGTTTATTGCAGCAAGTCTTTGGGGATCCTGGGATTACTGGAGGCAGGAGCTGTAGAGAAATTGGTTTACAGACTGGGAGTAGCAGCTCCTCTACAATTATTTCAGTTAAGAAATGGTTATTTTACTCCACTCAGTTTATTTTATTCTGCTAGTATTTACCAGTTCACATTTCTATAACAGCATGAAATCAGCCAGCAAATTACCCCGTAGACATTGCAAACATCTGCACCGTTGTTTTCTTAGCGTTGCCTTCCTGCACCTCTGGGAGATCGATCCTTTCATTTCATTAACTTTTCACATCCCCCCGCAGCTATCCTTGTTCCCTTGCTGGAAAGAAATTCAGGAGATCACTCAAGTCAGACTTCAGAGGCTTTATACGCCTTGTTCTCCAACAGCCCACTGTGTGACACGGGGGAAATTTCCAGGCAGGGGCATTATGGCATTATCCTAATAGGATAGGGAGGAAAGGAGAAGGACTGCTCAGATGTTAAAATGAGTATGTCCCTATCTGATGGGCAGGTAGGTAAGATGTAGGGAGCAGGAAGAAAGGTGTAGGGAGCAGGTAGGATCTGTACACAAATCTAATCGATGAACAAAGATTAGCTTAATGCAGACAGACTCCCTTCCAGCATTTCCTGAAAATACAGGGCAGTGTCACGCAGCTCAAAGGCAGGCAGCTGGAAGGTCAGCCAGATGCCTGCAGGGTGACGGGAGGCAGAAGTGAGACCTTGCCTTGCAGTATGAAAAGTGAGTACATGATTGGCATTAGGTTAAAAAAAACAAATGCATACACAGCCACAAAAATCAGACCGTACAACTCAGAATTACAGCACTGAGATGAGGGTACAGGTCTGCCAGGCGCTGCCCTCTCCTGTGGCACACAGTCAGTACCCCAGCATGTATGAGCTAACCCCGCTGCTGCTCGTAGCCCCAGCGTTGGGAGTTGTCCATATAAATGAGATTAGTCCATTTCTATGCCATTTTTCCAATTAATGTATGTTTGCTGAGCTGTCAGGTAATATTAGGAGGGTGAGCTATGGTACGTGGTACAGAAGAACTCAATAGTGACTGTAAGAAGCTGTGATAATGTTCCAAGTGCACTAAGAGGCCAGCAGGATGCAGCAAGCAAATTTTTGACTGTTTTCAGGCGCCGATCAATGGATGTCGCTGTGAGCCCCTGATAAATAAACTGGAGAATCAGCTGGAGGCAACCGTGGAGGAAATAAAAGCTGAGTTTGGGACAGTACAAGATAAGATGAATGTTAAGCTGGGCCAGATGGAAAGCAAAACTCAACATCAAGTAAGAATATGACCTGGAGGTCTGTTCGCCCGCAAGATTATTAGAAGCATATCCTAAGCATAACGAGTGTTTTCATTGTCATGGTTCGTTTATTGCTTCTTGCCTTGTAAAAATGAACCTGAAAGCTAATACTCAAGACCAGGGAACTGTGACATTCCACGGGGAGCTAATGTTGCAAGCTGGGGGCTTGAGAAAAACACATCTAATGTGCAAGTGGCTTCAGGTGCTTCTTCAGACAATAAAGCTAAACTGCTTGAGGGAAACTTAGGAAGAGAGAATGCTGTCCTGCAGCTGGTAGTTTCATAATTGTAAAAACCCCTTTTGCTGAATTCTCTTTACACTGATGTTTGAGACCGTTTAAATTATTTTTAATGTGTTTTTTTTTTTTCATTAAATAATTTTGCAATCGGACCTTTTTGCAACCTACACCAAATTGTAGTTGGCATCATTCCTGGACATGAAGACTGAAAGACAGAGCTTACTTTGACTTGCAAGGTCTGCAGATGGGAGTTCTGTTGTTTTTTTTTAACATGATCGCCTTGGCTAAATCGTGGCTTTTTTTTTTTTTTTTTTTTTTTTTTTTTCCCCAGCTCCGTGTTTTAGACAAGCTGATGGCAGAGCGGCTGTCCGCAGAGAGAACTGAGTGCCTTCATCGCCTGCAGCAGCATGCTGAGCTGGAAAAAAACGAGGGAGAGAAGCGGCAGGTAGGGCTTGAAACGGCTCCTCCCTCGCAGCTCAGGTGGATCCGCACAGCAGTTTTGTTCCAGCGAGCAGAGAGAATAGCGGGGAGTTACCTGAACTGCTGGAACAGGCAAAGGGACTTCGGGGAACAAATGAGTCCTGTTCACCACCTGAATCTCTAGACCAAAAGTGTAAAGCTGTTGCATTAGGAACGGGTGGTGTGGAATCCAGTCTGACTGTTGCTATTTCATTTGGTGGGCCTGAAGGTGGGATCTCTAACAAAGGTATCTTTTTTTCTAACATAGTGCTTTGTACAAATTCCTACAACTGAATTTGCACCAGTTGTGCTTTAGCTTTCCTTTTGTTATAGGATGTCTCTAGTAACATCTGCAGAGTCACAAAGGCATAACGTCCCCGTTGGTCCTTTAGTTTCTCATTCACTTGGTTGTGTGCCCTGGAAATCTCCCCCTTCTCAGTCTCATCTTTTTTCCCCCACATACTCAAGGCTGCTGTTCTTCCCCCTGACTTTGGCAACAGCACGCCACCTCCAGGCTGCGTACTGCTGCCAGTAGGCAAGTTCTTTTATAGGCTTGTTAACCACCATTACAAGAGGAACTGTTCCAACAGAGAGCCAGCTCTTGCTCCTCTGGCTTCTGCACAAACTCACCATTAAAACATTATAAGAAAACCGTATTTCTCCACTCACAGTAAGCTTAAAACACAATTTGTTTTCTCACTGCTGGGGTTCTTCTGAGAATGAAGAAATGAATACTCGTTGTTCTAGTAAAAGGTTATGACTTTTTGTAAGACAGTTCCAAATCTATGTTAAAAGGCTGGCTGCTGTGATAATCCCAGTGTAAACTACTCACACCCACAACACAATTTTCTCCAAATAAAAGTACTTAAACTCAAAAAGCTTTATTTTTTTCACAGCAAGAGGCATAGGTATGATATTGGCTTCTGTGATGTCTTAGGCTTGTGCTCCCACAGGACTCGAAATTGCCATTGAGTGGTATCAGCTGTCCGTGTGCTGCTGAGTCCAGCTGAAACTACTGAAAAAAAAAACGAGTTGGCCTTTTCTGAATGCATGAACGAAGTGTTCAAGCTCATAAGAGGGTCTGACCTAAATTCACAAGGCCATGTATGTACCAGGGAGAAGAGCTGCTCATTTTCAAAATGATCACTGGCAAATGCCCCTGCAGTTGACACTTATTAAGCACTTTTGTAATTTAAAAGCTGTTAGTAATTTATCATGGGTTGGGCTCATCTTTATCACTGAATGAACAGAAGAGCAGAGGTTGGTACAAGGCTGTGTCCTAGAAGTGTCTTGAATTGAATTTCACTCTCAAAAAAATGGCAGCACTGAGCACGTGATGGAAGCATTGCACTTGGAAAGTGCCTGGTATTTTATGATTAAATAAGTTGGCCCTGATCAGAAGGCTTCGAGTTGCATTAGAAAAAGCAGAGATTCAACTAGAACAGGTGCTAGTTTGGACTGAAGTGGTGCCTTTCCTTAGCTAACGTGTATTTCCTCATCTTTTCTGATTTGCAGCACTCTAAATGCTCCCTGTTGCAGTGTCCGTATCTGTCCGGGCAGCTAAACCCACCAGGCTTAGCTCTCTTTGTCCTTGCTGCCCATCCTCAGCAGCCCAGCAACCACAGGCTGTGAAGCCAGGATCCTCTAACGTGCATCCTCTTCCTCACAGATGTCCCTGGTGGATGAGCTGAAGACCTGGTGCATGCTGAAGATTCAGAACCTGGAGCTGAAGCTTTCTGGAGACTCCAGGTCGTCGAGGCCAAAATCAACGCTGTCCACCTGCGAGTCCCTGGCTGAGACCCTGGACACGGAGAACAACCCCCACAGCGCCAAGGACGGCAAAGCCCCCCAGCCCCTGCTGCCGTCGGAGGGCTCCCACCAGCACTCCTGTGCCACGCTGCCCAACAGCCTCTCGGAAGACGGGGGAAGGAGCAGAGGCCCCGGGCCAGAGCAGGGCTTTGGGCAGTTCTGCATGCAGCAGGACGGCGCCTCGGGTATGCCCCTGTCAGGTACTTACCCCACACTCATCCAAAAGCAAGCTCTTTACATAATGGGGGGATGCTTGTGTTCACACCACCAGCACTTACTCTCTCTGTGTGCTTTTTCCCACCTGTATGCATTGGGTCTTGGAACATGCTTCAAGGCAGCCATCAGGAATATGTAAATTTTATTTTCACTTGGCTGGGATTGCGCTGGATCTTCCTAACGTTGCCGCTGTGTCTTTGAAGCCCAGACTTGTGATGCTCTGAATATTTACTGCAATTTCTCCAGCTTCCCAGTCAGAGTTACTTCAGCCCTGTCTGCCAGGAAAGTGCATAGATTATCCAAAATCCAGTGAAGAAAGGATCCTGTCTTAAGAGCTTTTCAGATGTATGGATACTGTAATGGCAGGGGGCAAGGATGTGAACCTGAAATACTCATTTATTTCCCTTGTTAATATTTATAATACAGGGATATAGAAAAAAAATCTTCCACTTTTTCCACTTTTCTTTTTAGTTATTAGTTCATTATGGAATGGGAAAAAACACAGCTGAAAACACTGAAGCCCATTTGGGATTTTGGGCACCTGAGGATAGAGAAGACCTTGGTTCATGCCACTTCTCTGTGCTTGACCAAGGAAGCTTCTGAGTAAAATGAACCAGTCAGAACACAATTAGAGCCTGGGGTCTCTGCATCCAAGGAAAGCACCCTGGGCTTCTGTAAAATCTATCCCTGTACATATCCCTACAGGAAAAGTAACAGAAGCCCCTACAACACACACTCCGAATGGTACGTGGGACACTCCATCATTCAGCACACTTTGTATAGCAAGGATTTTTGAAGGCTGACGTGCATGCCTGTGGCTTTTCTAACCCTGTGTTTTTATTCTGTAGGTGCAGAGCAGCAGCTGATGGCTGCTGGACCCGCTGCTGCTTCAGCCCCTGCTCCCGACGTGAGGCCGAAGGACAAAACCGGCGGCACCGGCACCTTCCAGCGGTTCCAGCCCGAGTTGCCCTCCGCCGAGCTCGTGGGCTCCAAACTGCGCCACGTGAAGGTTCAGGCGGCCCTGCAGCCCCTGGCCGAGCCTGCCAAGGCCGAGCCGCCGGGCGGCTGCTTCGTCGACAGAGGAACTCAGACAAAGAAATCCAGCAAGGGCGCGCAGCCGAGGCACAAGGCGCCGCACCACGCCGGGGCCCATCAGAGCCAGGAGCCGCCCGCGGGGCAGGCGCCGGCCCCGGCGCTCAGAGACACCTCGCAGGCCCTGGAGCTCACCCAGTATTTCTTCGAGGCCGTTTCCACCCAGATGGAGAAGTGGTACGAACGCAAGATTGAGGAAGCCCGCTGCCAGGCCAACCAGAAGGCTCAGCAAGACAAAGCTGCGCTCAAGGAGCACATCAGGAGCTTGGAGGAGGAGCTCAGTAAGCTAAGGACCAAGGTGCAGAAGGAAAGCTAGCGGGCGCCAGGCGGGGCGAGGCCAGCAGCAGGACGCCCTCTGGAAGCGGCAGGAATCTGGGCTAGGTGTGGACACGTCCTTGTGGTGCCTGGCCCGTCCAAACAAAACGCTCTTTTTTCAGGAGTAGAAATAACTTGGGACACTCCAGAACCCAGGAGCTTTGTATGCAGAGTGTCCCGACCACCAGATGCTGCAGATCGACCCCTTCCTCCTTATCTCCCACCACCCGTGACATTTTGCACTCTCAACTTTCAGGTGCTGCTTGAAAACAAATTGTGTTAAGAACCAAAACCGCGTGCCGAGAAGGGAATTTTCTCATTTCCACGTCAGGCAGGTGTGGCGAGGGGGTTCCACACGTAAACCTGATGCCCAGACTGACATAAATCCCTGTTTGGGTGTTGGAGAGCCTGTGGCTCCTGCCGAGGTGAGCTGCCCTGTTAGGTACAGGGGCTTCTGTTGCCACATTGCTTTTCTTTGGGTTTACATTATTAAAGGAAATGCTAAATCAGGACTTTTTACGGTGTCCTGGTGGCAAAGCGCCTCGTGGTTACGCAGTTGTGGGGGCTGTATCGAGTGATCTGGCTGAGGAGTTCTGTTTAGGGCACGGATGGTGAGTATTTTACCATGACCACGCTCCACTTGCTGAGTGTAATTTTTATGGAAAGCTCTTCTCCTTCAGGCAGCAAACAGCTGAATTCGCTGAAGAAGCTAGGACGCAGTCCTGTAAGGAAGTGAAAGCTTGGTTCCCTCTATGCAGACGTTTATTTTTCCGTAGGGTCAGGCTTTCCTCCCAGCTGCCTTTGTCTGGACTGCCTTCCTTCATTCCCCTGAACAATTCCGCTCTCTGTTTTCCCCCACATCTCTAAAGAGAGGGACTGGGCCCTGGTGACTCTCCAGGTCTCAGGACTGATCTCCAGCCCCGCAAAACAGAGCTCAGCAACATTTTCACACTGTTATGGATGGTTTGCAACAAAAATCACAGCTTGCAGTGACTTCCTGACAGGCACCACACCGTAATTCACAGAGGGTCACATTTCCACTTGTGTTTGTTCCAGCAGTAACACCCAAATTCATCAGCCACGTTTGGGTCCTGGCGCGCTGCGTGCACGAGGGGCAACGTAACTTGTTCCTGCATCCCTGTAGGGTTCCCTCCGTGCTCCTCTGGGAAGGCTCCTCGAGATCCCCTTGCTACGAGTCAATGTGCTCAACGACCCCTGACAGAACACTTGTACAAAACCAATTCAAATACAAGGTGGCAGCAGATGCCAAGGAGAAAGATTTATTTTTTCTATACCGCGGAGCCCTAAAATTAATACAAACCACTTTCCAGTATTGAAGACACCATTAACGAACTAGCAATTAAGCTTTCTGTGCTCTTAGCAGCTGTATAAAGCGAAGAAGAATTGTACTATATAACTATTTTTAAAAATTCCTATTAATGCACTATCGAAGCAGGAAGTGTGCGTGCAGCTACGGCAACACTAGTTTTATTGCTCTGACTTCCATAGGCATATAGACACTTTCGTATGTTTACAATTTTGTTTAAGCGACTGTAGGAATGCAGAAGCATGCTATTTAAGTTTTATATCCCCTTGATAAAGTGACTTGTTTTGCCAAGTAATTAAAATACGTGTTGCTCAGAATCCTTGCGTTGCCATGTCTTCTATCCAGAGAAAAACAGATAAAATCAGAAGGGAAAGGAGAAAATTGGACTGCAGAGTCTAAGCTTTTGTTATTTTGTGTCTTTGCTATAAAACAGAGAAGCCAGATGCGCCAGCTATCACAGGGTGAGGCTGCAGGGACTGAGCGCCGCTGTTACCTGGCAGTGCAGAGGCTGCTGCATGATGCTGGCACTCGCGTGTTCCTAACCTCTCCCACACGTGAGGGAAACACAAAGGCTGTGGTTTTAGCGAACCTCCTGAACATGCACACCTGTACAAGCCTTGCAGCAGGGATTTCAGGCAGTAACTTGGCTGTGGAGTTACTGATCTTAGAGGTTTTATGAAGCTAACAAGTGTACTTACTCTAAGGGGGGACTTTTCCCTAAAATTCATTCCTACTCCTCTGCAGTTCCTCCCTCATTCAAAACTACGGGAGTTGAAGAACTTTTTAAAATAAAAACAACAAAAAAACAGCTGTATTATCTACCAGTAGATAACGTATTATCTACCATATATACTCCCGGCCTGCGCGACTGCAACCGGGGCCGCAGGAGGAGCGCGGAGCCTTGCGTCCCCTGCGAAAGAGCCGCGGCTGGCAGGGATGGAAATAAACCACCAAGGAGAAAAGTTTGTGAAAACAAACTGGCATCGACAGCTTTGTTCAATGCAGCAACTTCAGGGGCCCAGCCAATGCCATCAACCATCTTTATCAACAGCTAGGATAAGAACCTGACACTAGTTTTATTTTTATATATATAAATGTATTTTTTTTTCTTTTTGACAACTGCCACTATGGCTTCCTTACCAGGTGAAATCCACATGCCTGGTAAAAGCAATCACTCCTGCTTTATTCTCCACCCGCTCCTGCCGTTCCCCCCCTCAGAGCAGTGCAAAGTATGACTCCGGAATCTTACCCTCTAGCACCTTAATTATTTGAAATTGTCCTGCTCAGGCTTCAGAGAGACCTTCCTCAGTAACGACAAGGATTGCAGGATTACGGCTAAGAGATCCAGACACCACCTCCACAAACAAAACGCTCGTTTCCACCCACAGCTTTTTTCTCCCGCAAGTATCAGCTGCAGAAAACCAAAGCCAACTTGTTTTTCCCATTACCTTACCTTATTTTCATTCATTTGAATTTGATGTCCTGCAGAAGCAAAGGGCCGTGGCTGTTGTAGATGAACCCAGAATGGCGACAGCAGCCCCAGCCCTGCTCGTGCAGCACCAGCTCCAGTCCAGCACTGTCCAGGCTCAGGAACTGAGGCTGCAGAGCAAGCAGCGTGCCCAGGGCTTGTTGGTGCTCGCTTTTGGAGCATTAACAGCAAGGAAAACGAAACAGAATGATCAGAACACTGCAAACCTGAAAAATAATCCCTCCTCACTCATGGAGCTTGGTCAGCCCTTTCTACTAGAAAACACTGGCTAAACTCTGAAAGCACGACCTGAAATGCATGCAGCTACTGAGGAGTATCTACTGCTGTCCAGCTACTTCTGTCGAGAAAATCCCAGCTGCACCTTGGCATTTTCATTAGTAAATTATATGAGGAAAATAAAAGATACGCTGCAATTCAGGGAGGTAAAGGCATTTTCAAACTACACAAACTAAAAGTAGTTATTTCCTATTTGTAATTCTGCCTTAAATTGATTTTTTGATACTACCTTCAAGATACTTCCTATTAACATGAGAATAACCATTCCGGGGGCTAAAAATCTCTCATTCATTGTCATACATACAGACATGGCTTTTTAAGTTTTATTTAGCTGTAACTGAAAATCAACATCTACATTAAAAACTTTTTCTTTTAATGTAACGTTTTATTTTCTTAGACACTATTATTTATCCCAAATGCTGCTTCTTTCTAAATTCAGGAAAAAAAATCCTTGTGGTGGTAACAGCCGTTCCTCTACCGTGCCAAGTGTTACCACTTAGACGCACCACAGTAGGAACCAGACAAAATAATCTGTTTTATATTTATTTTCCATTTCCCTAGCAACACACTGCTGTTGTAATCTGGGGGGCTTTCTGCTTTTCCTGCAGCACCTGCTACATCATCCATTCAGTTTTTCGGGGTCTTTTGTGTCTGAGTGATTCCCACGTGGAAGAATAACCAAGCCAAGAAGAAAGGGAAGAAAAAAAAAACAACACACCAAAACCCCACTGTGGTAGATTCCATCTTCAAACATTACCAGGATGTCATCAAAGCCTGCTATTGTAACCAAATTCTGTTTTTCAGCAGATGAAAGTCCAGCTGTCAAAAAAATGACACTCAGGATTTTGCCAGCTTAAGTGTTCTTTGAAGTTCCTGAAGTTGCATATTGCCTTGAGTGATCATCATCCTAATTGCGTCCTGTAAAACAAAACTGAGGCTACTGAACAAACACATGCACACAGGTTTTACACAACTGCACATATTTTAACACACTGAAGTATACATAGCTTCTTACCAGCACTGTTGTGATCTATTTCTAGCATGTAAAGTAGCACTATAGTTACTGCCACGGTTAAAAAAAACACCAAGTAATTAATTTTATCCAATTCCTTAACAACGTGTTTGGGGGCTGGTTACATCTTTGCTTTAAAACTCAGATTTGGACTGGATTCAAACTCCTGGTAGTATTTTTTTTTTATGCCTGTGTCTACTGCCTTTACAGGTACATAGTGACAACTGCGTATTGGTGTTACGAAGACAGATGTTTAACAGAACAAGGAGATATTTCCATCAACATTATTTTCTAAGTATTGTTATGCTTTGTCTGCATAATTCACCCACCAGTTCCCTGAGCAGTGGTTAGAAAAAGAAACAAACTAGAAAGCAAAGGGCAAAAGACAGGAGAAATAGGAAGGTTTCTGCAATTCAGGCTCATATGTACAGAAATACAATTTCATTTTCTTTGGCTGAAATATAGATGAAACTAAAGATTAAAAAAATAAGCTCTAAAAAAGCCTGAGCGATAATGAAGTAAGATTAGTTATCATGCTATTCAATGCAATTTTTCTGTTTTAGGCAAGCAGGACTTGTTTGGCTTTTACCTTCTTAATCCCAGAACGTTACCTGGAAGTCAGAGCACTATTACCCCCGTGAAGAAACAGAAGGGATGATATTCAGAGATGCTGAAGTATTTCTCCACACAAATACCCCTTAAGAGAAATTAGTCACAGCTGACTCCTTACAAGCCTTGCTGTGACACTCCCAGAACAAAACCAGGTGGCCAAGCACAGCACGCATCGCTCCACAGGCAGTGTTTTTGGGATCGCCCATTTATTTCCCCTCCTCACCTCTTCCGTAGCATCCTTATTTCTTCTGAACTCCTCCCTGGCCCACTCCTGCAGGTAGCGGCGATCTGCCTCGGCGGGGACGTCCCGCAGGGCCCTGAGGATCCTCCTGTAGAGCTGCAGGACCTGCTGCCGCCTCAGGAACTGCAACACGGAGCCGTCAGCCCGCCGCCACGGCCCCGGCCCCGCCACCAGGAGCCGAGCTGCCAGCGGCTCCGTCCTGCCCGGGGAAATAACCGCAACGCCCCGCACCTCCCTCCATAACACGCCAAGCGCTGGTTCCCTGCTGCGTGCCCCGCCACCCAGCCCCGGGTGAGGAGAGAAATTCCCCCTCAGGCGCTGCCGTTTTGCCCGCGCCGCCCGCCCGCACCTGTTTAAGGGTGAGCGCCCCGGGAGGCAGCCGCCCGGCCGCCATCTTGTGCGGCTCCGCCTCCAGCGCCCTCAGCGCCCGGCCCGCCCCGCCGGGAGGGGCCCCGCGGCCGCCATTTGCTGCCGCCGGCCGGGGGCGGGCGAAAAGAGCGAAATCACTTAGGGGGCGGCTGCCTGAGGTAGCTTCGTGCTTGCTTGTACCGAGTTCAGTGCAAACCCTGTGCTAAGTACGGAGAAATAAAGATTTGACTGTACTCTGAGCATTGTTGATCAAAGTGTGGCTCAGGCTGCAGTCATCTGTGCAGAAGATAAGCCCTTGAGAAACTACAGCTTACAGTCAATGTCCTTGCCCTCTTCAAGAAAAGTGTGTGGTTTTTTATTATTATTTTTTATTATTTTTTTATTTTGTTTCCCTTCCCAGTATATTTTCCTCGAGTTCCCTACTACAACTACACAGGATACCCCTGAAGTGACAATACATTCCAGACAATTTCCTAATCATCTAAAAATACCTATTTCCACAGTTAAATTTCCCAAACCATTTGTACATTTGTATACATTACATATTTGTGTAAAAGAGACCTACATAACCTTGCAGGGATATTGTATACTACCTGACATTTAAATTCTGAGGGGACACCGCTCCCCTGATAAGTTTTCTGTTGTGAAATTTGCTCATTGTGTATTAGTGGGGCAAAGCTGTGGTACCAGTTGAAAAGGAAAGGTGAGAAAACTCCTGATCCATCTCATACCTCAGGGGCTTGGCACAGCTGCATCTCAAAACAGCAACCGTGATATTTTGGTTGAGATTTTTCTATCTGTACAGCAAAGAGAACAAATCACATCCTTGGTAACACATCCATGTTCCATCTATTTTCTGATCAACTCCTGCACCATGCTTTGGATTAGACACCTTCAATTTCTGTATATAAAAGATGTAGAGTAGACGTATTTAAACAAGTTTCCTGCACATTTTCACTGTCTAAACAGACCAGGGAGGAGTCAAAAGACAAGACCACCACCAAAGCTCCATGCTGACATATCCTCATAAGAGATGTTGAAGTTACATAAACCAGGATACATTTTCACATGAAAATGCAGATTTGTGCACTGCTAGAGAATGCTGCCTACTTCCATGTGGAAAATCCAGTTGAATAAATTAACAAAAAAGACAGACAGCATGATTACAAACAGTGGTACCTCTTTTTATTAGAACCGACTATATAAGATGCATAGCTTCTGCAATGAAAAATCATGTCCATGCTTTAAGACATCTCCTTAATGAAACATGTCCTCAATGTCTGCCTTGGACACTGGGGCAAACTTCACAGTGTAAACTGATAACACAGGGATTACTATATGGCATTATTCATCAAACTCCCTGATGATATTATCAGCCAAAAATCAGCAACAATTCAATTGAATGTGTTTAACTGCAGAACAGTTTCAAGTATTCAAGTACTTAATTTTTTTGGTTGCTTAAAACCATCTGCTTCACCCATTTCCTCCCTCACCCCTTCCCAAAGAGGTGGCCAACCATCCGGGTGAAGCTAACGAGAACTTTTTTGCAAGACAGCTCAAGTACTTCTAACACAGAAATGCCTTCCAAGAAGCAAGACTGATTTTTCTTATTGCAATAGAGAGGAGTAGGAATAATTTTACCTCATTACAAATAACTTATTACTTAAAAGAAAAAAAAATACAAGAGAAACTGAAGAAAGTTTTACATCATTTACGTAATAAGCAATGAAAAAACACCGTCTCACCATTGCATAACCTCCTCTGACAAACATGGGAGAATACACCTAAACCATTTTGTTCTCAGGCTGTCTGGCTGCCAGAGGGCAGCTCTCGTACGTTAATCCTACTTAAAGAGACCTCAGGAACCCTCCGATGAAATGTCGTTTCATGTATTTCAGCAGTTTAGCAGCAATAAGGTATTCGTTTTGTCTACAAAGTCTACAAAGTGTCCGAGGCAGTCACCAGTTCAAACCACTGTCTGAGTGCGTCACTGAGAGTTTCTGGAAGTGCGTTCACATCCCTAAGGATCATGTAGAATGGGAATGGAAATTCTTCCATGTAAGATCTGATTTCAGGCAATTCTCCAGGTCCTTTGAATATAGGAACTTTAATGTCCAAGATGGAATCCTGTAAGAAAGAACTGATGTGACTACACAACTACATGCATCAATTATTCTGTTTTTCAAATTTTTATAATTCCTCGTCTGTTAAAAGGTTAATAAAGTTTTAATATTGAAAAGCACAAGTATTCAAAGTTAAATCAAAAGCTGAACACAAAGCTCTTAAATATTTTTGTCCTTTTAAACAAGAGCTTTAATCTTCTGCAATATCAATTTCCACAAAGAAATCCTGCTTTCCTTAGTATTTTATAACTTTATCTTACTGTTATCGCTTTCCTTATGCATTTGGTGCCCTCCCAACACTGTCATCTGTAAGCATTAAGGCTAAAAATTCAATTTGCATTTATGCAGTGATTGAATGCAATAAGAATCTTTAACAATGTTTTTAATTTCAACATTAAAAAAAAAATCACATTCTTCTTGTAAAGGAACTTCTTAGTTGCTCAAGTGTAGCAGCTCAGAAAATTAATAATCCTTGTGAAAAGGGCACTTCACTGCCCAGAATTTTAGCTTGCCAGAGTAACTAGGTTAGGTATAATCAGAGCATTATAACAGCTTATCAGAAAGATAGCAGATAGGTTTTCTATGAAAAAAGGTATAAAAATCAAATTTGAACTACAAAATTAGAATCTTCACCACATAATTCAGAGTAAAACTCAACTTTGTTCACTTATTAGAGTCTCCCTGAAAAGCTCCCAGAAACACTTCTTTTCCCGCTACTAAATATTCTATCCAGTTTTCTCAACTCAGGCACTACTCTCACACACTTTTCTGTCCCTTGTCTAATCTCATACTGGCTCCTGCTGTCATATCAAGTGGAAACTGCTGTCAGGAACGATCATGTTCTATCAAAATTGAGGCAGAAGAATGCATCACTTAGGGTCCCCAGCACAAGGAGGTCACAGATACAGAACAAGTCCAGAGGAGGGTCACGAAGATGATCAAGGGGCTCGAGCACCTCTCCTGTGAAGACAGGCTGTGAGAGCCGGGGATGTTCAGCCTGGAGCAGAGAGGCTCCGGGGAGACCTTACAGCAGCCTGCCAGTACCTAAAGGGGGCTGGAACTAGGTGATCTTTAAGGTCCCTTCCAACCCAAACCATTCTGTGATTCCATTTTGGGATTTTACCAGCCTGCTAGCTACTTCTCTGGAGAAGAAAATCTACAGCCATTACACTTTAAGATAGGAGTTCCTATTTAGATTTTGTGACATGGAAGCTTTTTTTTGTGTGTTTTTAAACACTAAAGAGGATAAACATAAAAATAGGAAGAAATCCTGCAATATTTCACACATGAAAAACTGAAGCTGGCCTAAATACCTTTGACCTCTGCAAAAGATGAAATAGCTCTAAAGCACTACAAAGACAAGAAAACGATTTGCACTGGTTTTCACACAGCACTCGAACACTTTTCCCTTGTTCACTGACTTACCCGGGAATTAGGATTGTCCAGCACTACGAAAATAACAAAGATATTGGCATTCTGAGCTGCTTGGACTGCTGCTGTCACTCGTTCCTTGCCTTCCAAGAAGAGCCCTCTTCCATCAGATACAATCAAAAGCAGCTGTGCTGTTTCTTGAGCACAGAAAAAAATAAAAATGCAGTAAATTAGAGTAAGGCATTTAGAAGGCAAATAGACTTATTTTTTGTTAGTTTTGTGGCTATAATGGGAAAATCCCCAGAGCTTTCTTAACTTCCTTAAGTCTTTATCAAGTAGAATTCTATGAGTTAACATTAAGTTGCAGTTACAGGTAGGTTAAAGAAATCCGTTGTTTTTTTTCCCACTGTATGAAACCATTGAGATCAACTGGTAAAAAACAACAAAAAACCATAACTGTCCATCACAAGGAAAGACAAAAATGCATGAAATATGCATAAGGAATTGAGTCATAGGCTTCTCTTTCATGCCCAGTAGGTGCCTAGGAGTTCAATACTGGCTGGATTTTAAGAGTCCAGCCTTGGTGAAGTTGCAGCTGCTGCAATGAAATGGGAAGAGTCCAAATCCACTCCTCCAATATCAGGAACCTATGGACGCACCTATATTAGGGTTTCATTTTGGAACACAGCACAGTGAGACTATGCCTTTGAGACAGGTTTCCATATTGTCCTCTCTTTACCAGGCTTGGCTCACCTCACAAAGCAATACTGGAGCACACAGAAGGGATTACTTTTGGATGAAACTAAACCAGAAGACAGGCTCTGGAGGCACAGCCAAAGCAACCACTACCAGGCATTCAGGACTTGGGACCAGACGAGCTAGTCTGAAATAAGCCCCCTGACACATACCCAGCACAAATGCTGGGTTCCTCAGCACTAACCATTTTGCTGGGGACATGTTACTTGCTCACGTTGCCCCCGGAGCCAAAGATATATCCCTCTAAAGAGGTATTCTACCTGACTTATATGCCTACTATATTTTAATGACAATGGCAATTACAGTAACTACAGTCACAGCTCCCCTCTCTCATCCCCCTAAGCGTAATATCTAGGGAGAGATGCAGAACATTCCTGCTTTTCTGCAGACAAGCCCCAAGTGTGACAGTGCTTTCTCTTTTTATGAAGAGGGGTGATATATTCCACTGCCTTTTCTCCTGCTAGCTACCTGATTCTGGGGCTTGCTGCTGCACTCTGACCTAACTCCCCAGGACAGGATGCTGCCCCCACTCAGAATATCCCAGCAGCCACGGATTATAAATCCTGGACTGCCCACTTCTTGGAGTACTTTAACAAAAAAAACTTTTGAAAATATGGCTGTCACCATGATAAGCTTCTAACGAGCACAAGGCAGTCTCTTAGGCTAATTGTGGGTCAGCCATGAAGTGGTAACTACTCTAACTGTGGGTCAGGCATGAGGTAAGAAGCCTCCCAGCTTTTCCTGGAAACTCAAGCAGCTCATGACCAAAGTCTGCATCACAGTGAAAGACATGAAGGAGGCAAACCTGTACCCTCCTCAGAAGCATGCTTCTGGATACCTATGGGAGTCAAGCTCTTGCTCACAGAAAGTGCTGAGGTCAAGACCAG